TATAGATCTTTTTTCTTCCATGAATATAAAAATTTTACATTAAATTTTTTATTTATTGTAACAAAATATATAATACTTATGTAATCAGAATGATGAGACATAAATAAATAAAATAAAAAATAAAAAATATTTTTGACAAATGTATAAAATAAATATAAATATAATTTTTACATAGCATAAAAAAAATACTTAAGAACTGTTTGCCAACAGAATCTTAAATTTAACAAAAACAATTATATGTATTTACTTTCACAAAAAATAAGTACATAATATTTATGTAATAAGCCATAAATATGTCGATAATATAATAACTTTGACAATATCATAGCATAGAATATGTATAATTATTTATTTATTTGACAGATTGAATCACAAGAAACAGAACACTTAAACATTCCTATAATATTGTTGTTCTACAAAAAATTTCTTAAAACAATGATACATATCTGAATAGTCACAAAGTGATGGAAAAGAATTTTTTTTTCAAATTGTTAAAATTTATACATAATTGTAATTTATACAAAATTTCAAGATTATTATTTTATTCTTTTTATGTTAATGAATGTTATAATGTTAAATCAAAGTTTATTATATTATATATTATATATTTATTATTATATTACATTATTATCTAATATATTATTATTATTATAATAGATTTAGAAATTTAGTTTTTATAAATGAAAGTATCTAGCGAATCATAAAAATATTTGAACATTATCTAATAAGAAAATTCACTTAATCCGAAAATTCTAATTAATTTTGAATGAAAATTTGTATATAAAATAATTTTAATTAATAATTTGTAAAATATAATAAATTATACATGAAACAATTTTTTCAAAATTTCTTTAAAATTGTATCTTTCCATGTTTTAAATTTAATTGTCTGGAAATTTTTTTACAATAAAATGATAGAGCATTAAATTATAAAATGAATTTTATAATATAAATTGCACGCAATATTATAAAGTTATATTTAAAAAACGAAAAATATAATAAAATTTTAAGCGTTAATTTCATTTCTTTTAAATGATATTTTAGTAAAAAAAAATTGTTTCATATATAATCTATTATATTTTTCGCACTTAAAAAGTTTCATTAAAAATAAAAAATTTTAATATTTAAAAAATAAAAAAGTATTCAAATATTTTTGAGCCACTGTATATTTATTTACATATTGTATAAGATGCTATATAATATGTCAGAGGTTTATGCAGGTCCAGATATATCTATATACAAAAATTTATCTGTAAAGTTTCACAAAGATTAATTTGTTTAAAATCTTTTTCTAGTATTTACTAGTTTCTTATCTGATTGATGATCATGATATTGCGTATCAATACGCAAGGAGGAGAAGAACAAGTAAATATTTATTAAGTCAAAATTTGATCTAAAAATAATAATAATAAATAGTAATAAATAGTAATAAATAGTAATAAATAGTAATAATAATAAATAGTAATAAAATTATCAATCATTTTTTTATTTCTATGCTGTTGCATTAAAATAATAAAATGATTTTATTTATTGAATTTATTTATTTTTATTGAATCTATTTAGATAAAAAGTATTTCACTATTACGTGGCTTAATTATTCCTATATTGCTTATTATCTATAAGCATATATATGATTATTTATATTATCTATAAGCATATAATTATGATTATATATATTTTTGATATAAATTATTTCAAATTAAATAATCTGATTGAAGTTCAATATAAATTCAAGGTTAAAATTCAATATATTTATATTATTCTATAATTTATATATAGTATAAGTTATATAGATTATATAGATAAAATATAATATATTAAGTTTCACATGATACAAAAATATTTGCCTTAAAAACGCGGCAAAGAATATATCTATGATCAAAAAATTTAATATAAAAAATTAATAACATTTAGATTAATAGAAAATATGAAAAATTTTGAAAAATTTTATAAAAAATAATTTAGAAATCATTAAAAATTAAAATCATTATTTATAATTTTGATATTTTCTTAATTTAAATTTTTAATAATAAAATTAATAATTGAAGTATCTATTTAAATTCTTCCAAATTGCATTTTGATATCATTTTTTTTAATTTAGTAAAAATTTATTTAATGTTTCATTTTCAATCTTATCTTTTATTTTCCTCAATTTTTATTTACTTAAAAAATTTATCTCTTATTTATATAAAAAATTATTGCTATTAGCTATTATTATAGAAATAATATAATAAAATATAATAAAATATAATAAAATAAAATAATTATTGAAACAAAAATGAAGGCTTTGTTTTTTACGAAAATAACTAATTTTTTTTACTTTTAAAATTCAAATATATTAAAGTACACGTAAAAAAGAAGAAACTTTTTTCTATATATAGATAATATTAAGAATTTATATAAAATTGTAATAATATTAAGAATTTATATAAAAATATAAATAAATGATCAATTAATCTCATAAATAAATAATTCAAAATAAATAAATAACAACTAAATCATTTTTTAAAATCATTCAATTATTAAATATTAATTTATTATTTAAATTTATTATTTAAATATTTAATTATTTCTGCATCATAATTTCATAGATAGAGAAATTGATATTTAAGAGATACAAAATCTAAAAAAAGATTTAAACAAAAAAATCTAGAGAGATTAAAATTATAACTAAAGAAAACCAGATTTTTAGGTATTTAATTATCAGGGACAAATCTAATATTCGATGTTATTCTATATTTATTATATTTATTATATTATTATATTATTATATTATAAGTATTTTTGATTTTTTTTGGCAATCACTACAAAAATATTATATTATTTTTTTCTCTTTATGATATTTATAATAGAAATTTTTTAGAAAAATTTTTTAAAAATACAAATAATGATAAATTCATATGAAAATATACATATGGCATGATAATTTTTTGTTCATTTAAATCAAAAAAAAGAAATTCAATATAAGATCTATATCATGTTGAGATAGACAAAATTTTTTCTTATAATTTTTGCTTTTTAAATAAATTAAAAAATAAAATAATATAAATAATGTAAGTTGATATAAATTAACACAAAATAATATAAATTAAAACAAATTTATAAATTGAAATATATATTTAATATTTTTAAACCAAGATCTATGAATTGTCCATATAAATATGCTCATATATTCCGCGCACTTTCATATTGAACTAAACAACTGTCGATCAACAGTAGTAAGTCACTTAGTGACAAGGTCTCGGTCAGTGAATTGTTTACTTATTGTTAGAATTTCGATAAAGATCACTGATTTTATATACGTTAGATAAAAATTTTTTTTTTCTTACAAATATTTTAAATTTTTAAATCTGGAATAAAGAAACGTTGATAAATAAAATAAAAAAATTGAAAAATAGATTTTTAAATAATTAAAATAAATCAATATATGAGTTGAAATAATGAGTTGAAATAATGAAGCTTTCATAATTATGAATATTAAATTTTATGATTTTAAATAAAAAATTTTCCCAAATGTTTCTTAATAATTTATTTATAAATACAAATAAAGAAAAATTATATTACTTACTTCTTCAACAAGATTCAAAATATATATATTATTTATACAAAATAGAAAAACAATTTGTCATATTCTCAATATTTCTTCTTACAGTATAATATATTATATAGTACAATAAAGTTATGAACGATCATCATATTTTGTTTAAAAAAATTTTTTGAAATATCGATATCAAAACGATCGATTTGGCATGGAATGACTTTTATACATAGATATCCAATGCTAATACTATATATACTAATTATAAGTATTTGAATCATCTTTAAATATCGTTGTGCTGCTTTTAAACGTATATTTACTTACAAATCAATCTAGAAATATTTTTTAACACTCTATGAATAAAAAGCTAATCTATTAGACCTACAATAAAAATTTTAAAAATAAAGTAAAAAACAAGCAAACAAGCAAAAAACAAAGACAAAACGGTAATGTCTTTAAAAGCTTGCAAAAATAATAATACCCAGATAGATAGATAGCTAAATATATAGATTATCTTAAAATAAAATAAGTAAACTAATATATTCCCGCTAAACATTTAACGAAAATTCTCACTCATAAACTGTAATAGACAAAACGGAAAGTAAGTTTGCGTTTCTTTCGTATGCAGAGGACTGCAACATCAACATTACGATCCACTGCGGGTGGTTGACTCAAAATCGAGTCGACGATGTTCAGACGTTTACGCAGTAACAGAGGTTCGAGTAAAAGAGAAGGAAGGAATCGAGCGAGTGCAAAAAAAAAAGCATGGTAAGACGAGAAAGGAAGAAAGAGCGAGAACGGAGGTGAGGCATGGCAAAGAGAGGAATGAAGTGGAATGGAGAGGAAAGGAGAAGCGGGAGAGAAAGATGGACGGCATGGCACGACGCAGCGCACGGAGAAACCGAGTCAAACTCTCGGCCGGCTGGCGCCGTTCTGTCGGCCCCCGCTGCCTCTTGCCACTGCCACCAACAATACGCGCCGTATACCTCTTCCCCGTTGTTTCGCCTGCCATCGTCACCAACGTCAGCACCAATGCCAGTACTTGTAATACCAACACACCAATATTGTGACGTCACCATTTCTATCACCAACCATCATCACTATGTTGACAATAATTTTATTTGTGTAGAGTACTTTTTATAAAGAAATGCTCGACCTCGTTCAATCGCAAACTAAATACACGTGTTTAAAACTCATCTGTGTTGTGTGATCTGGTCAAGTTTCCAAGCGCGACGAGACGAAGCTTACTCGACTTTCGGGCGCCTTCGCGCAGCGGTATTGGTGCTAAAACCGATATACATGATACATTCTTGAACAGACCGAAGTGATGCGGAGGCTGAAAAAGAAACGTTCAACGTGTTTGTAGTAGTGATCGTATCCGTAGAATCGACGGCATCGATACTGATGGTAATGTTAATAGTACTGGTCATAGTAGTGGTGGTAAGATAACAGAGTAGTGGTGGCAGTAATAGTGTAGTGGTAGTGGCGGTGGTAACGTTAGAGGCAGCAAAGTCACAGCGGGCAGGCAGACCAGTTGGGACTTGGGACTATCGCACGCGTGTGCGATGAAAAAGCACGAGGCGAATCAGTACCTTCTCGACCGTGCTCGTGTCAGGATGTGCTTCGTTGATTTTTGGATTCGAATTAACTTCGTATGTGAATAAATTTTCGCGTAATGTGTTGCGAATAGTAATCGTGATCCTGATTTTTTATTCGTGATTTTACATTTTTCGTTTGTTCCTCATAGGGGTGCAACGAAATTCAAACACGGACTATAAAAAGTGTCAAAAAGAAAGGAAGCTAGAATAATAGAAGGGAAACCTAAGAAACAACAGAAGAAATTGAAGCAACAAAGAAGTCGCGAAACGTGTAATACATTGCCGGTATGACTGACCGCTATACGTGTTCGTAAGATCTATCTCATGAAAAGTAATGTATGAACGGAGAGTGTGGTGATCAAGACAAAGAAGATTGTGCTTTCATGCTTTCAATCATCGATCGATATGGCCCATCACATAATTGAATCAGTATCCGAATTGTCGGCTTTAATGAAAGGTAAATATTTCTATAAAGGTATATATAATTTAATAGTTTCATCGAAATTAAAAATATTTCCGGTAATCGATACGGGTATCGAATTGAATCATCGAATTGAATCAAATCTTTTGAAATAACATTTATATCTTAATATTTCGATTTTAATAGACAAAATATTTCTATTTCTATTCTATTCGATTAATTCCTTTTAAATATTTATGAGAAAGTTTAAACGATATCTAGTTGAAAAGAAATTATTCTAATTTCATTATTTCTATTTCGCTTCAACATTTATCATCTATCAGTTACAAATAATTACCGCGAAAAGAATCATAAAGGTTAGCAATATAAATGTCTTCATTCGGTCGATTGATAATGTGCATCTGGTGGGAGTTGCGAACAATGATAATTATCGTTATGAACGGCGCCAGTCGACTCTGAGTAGATCGACTGCTTCAGCAGCACCAAATGTCATGCATCTGCGAAATAGACTTGACAAAGAAGAAAGATAAAATAGACTGGTTGCTCTCCTCCGGAGCAGGGAGACACATGGAGAGAGATCTGTGGAGAACGGTAAGATGGTGGAAGGGAGAAGTGATAGAAAAGGAGAATCCGAAAGAGAGATAGGGCATAGCGGCGCCAGCGTGGGTTGGCGCACACAACTAGCAGTTGAAATGACTTGCACGAACGATTTTTTGACCAAACTCGAAACTTATCATATTATTTTACTACGTTATTTTACATATTATTTTATGTTATAAATTTCTTTAAATTTTTTTTTCTTGCTCATAATAATGAATTATTACTGAGACATAACAAAAAAAAAATATTTTAAGACTATTCGACTAACATTTTCGATCTCTAATATCAGCATTACAAAAAGTATGACTGATGAGTAATAATTTTGCAATAATGTTAAAAATTCGAATGTTCTTTCATTTGACAATTTATCATTTGAAAAAAAATTCGATCAAGTTTGAAATCTTGTTTATTATTTAAGTTGAATTAAACGAATTGACTACTTTTTTTTCAATGTAAATATGCTATTTATTTCGATAAATTTGAATAAAACTTAAGACGAAGTCGATGATCGAATGAAATTTACAAATAAGTTAATTGAAATAAAAAATTTTTAAAAATATCATATAAACTTTTGTCTTCTTTTCTTACTAAAAATTTTCTTTTATTAATAAAATGAAATGTAAACTAACAGAATTCTGAGATTGAGATGACGAATTCCAAGAATATGATTACTAGTTAAATCAGATTTAATCTTGTCGAAAACTGTTGAGTGTAATCGATATTCTATTATACATAGTACAGGTACACACAGGTAAAAAGACAAGGACGAGCAACAAGGGAGAGTTGACTACTATGGTAAACGTCGAACTTTCCACCCACCTGTGCGCAAACCTTGCACCTGCTATCTGAACCGGACCTCTTCCGTCCTCTGACTTGTTTCATATAGTCCCTGTGTCATCGCAACCACCGATTTTTCCTTGCTTGTCGCTTACTACTTTCTCTATTCTTTCTAATAGATTTCTTTTTTTCTCTTCTTTTTTTCTTTTATTTTCTTTTAGTTTCTTCCGTTTCTTTCGGATTTTTAGAGTATTTTAAATTTAGAGTTATTGATTGATTGTATCATATATAAAATTAAATCACTTATAGGCAACATTATAGATTTTGAATTATTATAATTGATTTCAAATCGAAACAAATTTAAAAGTTGATATGCAAAAATATTGGTTTATTTAAATTATGGATAATGTAATTTTTTTTATTAGAAAAAGACAGATAATAAAATATTATAATATTAATAATATTAATAATAATAAAATAAAATATTCAATTTCTATCTCATCTGATGCAAAATTAATTATATTAATTAAATTAATTATAATTGTTTATAACTTAATAAACAAGTTTCAATTAATATTTTTGCATAGAAAATTTTATGTTTGATATCTAAAATATCGTTCTCTAATATATGCTTATAAAAATATTTTCAATCAAAATAAATTATTTCTTATTTTGCAAAAAATAAAAGAAGAATGAATTGCAAAAGAGCAAAAGTAAAATGGTATTAATAGGAATCCGATATTAATGATTAAGATAGATTTGATTTAAACATGCAACTGATTCAGAATTCAGAATAAATTGAATATTAGAACAAATGGAATAAAATATTTCGATTCGATTCGAAAAATCGTTGTCAATCAAATTTTCGATATATATTAAATAAAAAAATTATAACAAAATAATAAAAATTATAATATCAAGACTCATTGACTTAAAAAGTTTTGTTATATAGGTCATAAGTAGATACAAGTGAACAAAAAAAAATTGTCAATTTTATATGTAAAAATAAATCGAAAAAGAAATAATATTTTTTCGTTTATTTTATTTTTAAGCTAAATAAGTTTGAAAATTTGACAAATATATCTAAATAAATTTGATTAATTTCTTAATTGAAACGGTTAGTTATTTTATATGTAAATAATTAAAAAATATAGAATTTATTATTAATTTGAAAAATAATTCATCAAAATTGAAAGTTAATAGAATACACAAATCATTATTTTTTTACTGTATGTATATTCGTTTCTTAAAAATGAAAATTTAAATAATAAAATTTCATTTTTTATTTACGTGTAAAATAATTTTCTCTTATTGGTAGTTCATACATATCCAGTTAGAAATTACAAATTGTTATTTTTTTTTAAATTTGAATTATTAAAAAATAAAATATAAAATGAAAAAGTTATATTTTTCTTTTTTGATTTTTTTATATACAGAATCATTCTCTGTTTGCTTATGCCACCTGTTTTAAAACATCTGGGATACTTTGTATATATTTTTTGATTCTATAGATATAGTGATAATATTAATACTCGGCAGCGCCAGTCTTGTTAGAACATAAATTGACCTTAATGTTATTCTCACGCAGCTATTTGATCATTTTTCTCTTTCTTTCTTTTTCTCTCTATCTATATATATAATATATTCATATATTTGTACGATATTTTATTTATAATCTCTGCAAAAGTTGGCGGCAGTTCCTTCTTCGATTTATTTTAAAAGAGATGCAGAAAGATTACACTCTATTATTTTTAGTCTATTAAGTCGAAACTACAAAGAAAGAAAAAAATTATTTCTATGGATTCTATGGAATGAACATTAATGAATTTTGAAATATGATATCGATTATAAGATTCAGAATCATTCAAAGTAATCGCTCTATCTATGATTTTGTTTTTGTTTCTAATTTTAATTTTAATTTCATCCAAATTCTTATTTAGATTGCAAATCTTGACGATGATCATTTCAACTTTATTATTTCTCACATATATGATTTACATGTCAATTTTCACTTTATTATTTCTATTAAAAATCAAAAAAGAAAAATTAGAAAAAAAGAAATGATTGAAAGAAAAAAAAAGAGATTTAAATATTGATAAAAATGAAAGCAAGAAACTGAGAAAATATATATATACGTACCAATCACATGGCCATCTATTTGTACGTTCCTAACGAAAATGATCGAAGATATCCATTCTGCGGTCAACCATATGTCTTCGCGCGAATTTACACATTCATCCAGATGTTATTTTCATCTGTTTGAACAATTGTCGAATAATATAATAAAGATGTATGATATAGTATAGTATCGCAATATTCGCAATATTCGCAATATTCGCAATATTCGTAATTTAAAGATATGTATTTGTCGCACATTAAATATTTCTTTCACCATTATCTGGAATTGATAGTCGTTTTTCTTTTATCGAGTTCTCGACAATTTATTTTTTTAAAACGAAGTTTGTATAAATATTTTCATTGTAGGAAGTTTCCAGATTCACGATTTTATTGAAATTCTAATATTCAATATTTGATATTTGTATTTGATATTTGTAAGAATCCGAATTCTAACCTTCTATTTTGCATCGTTTCTTCCCCGATTGTGTAAATATATGTATATAAAATTGGAATGAAAAAAATCAAAATAGTGATTATTTTCTAACAAAAAAAAATTTGCCTCTAATTTTTAAAATTTAGTATATAGAAAAAAGATTTTATAAAATTATTGAGCTTTTAATTTTTTAATTTCTTTTAAATCATATTTTTAAATATGTTTTTTAATTTTTATTTCTATCATTATTATTTTATTCTATTATCTAATTAATTCTATTATTTAATATCATCTAATTAAATTTTATTTTATTACATTAATTATATCTTAGTTTATATATTTATTAAAATTTATATTCATAATACAAATAAAGAAAATTAAGAATTCTTTTTATTCTTAAGTGATAATTTTCTTAATCTACTCCAAATTTTTTATTATTTTTATATAGTGAACAATAATAAATAATTGCAAATAATTGCATAATAAACAAAAATATAAAAAACCAATAAATGTAATATATAATTTTTAGGTTTAAGACTCCTATTTTTCTCTTTTTCTTCTTTCCTTTTCTTTCTCTTTTTCCTTCCCTTTTTCTTTCTTCTATGCACAAGTTTCAGCGGGAAACAAACAATATCTTTTCCATTTACAATACGAATTTTTGTAAATACGCATTGAGCTGATTTGTCAAAGAGGCAGATGCTTGATACAAATACAGAGAGAAGCAGCCTTATCATAACTACGATAAGCTGTTTCGAAGTGTGAATCGCACTGTCACCAGGTGCGTGCAAGTCGTTATTCGACACGTTATAACGTTATAACGTGAAGCGTTATCCTCGGAATCATTGATCTCAGTGGCGCTTTTACACCCTAAAATATTTATTAATTTGTTTTAATGCACAATAGCTCATATTATGGATAAAATATGATTTTCATATGGATGAATGACCAAAATTGATATTATTTAAAAATTTATATAAATATAATTGTTTTCGGATATTTTATTATATATATTAATTGTTTTCAATTTGTTTGTCATTTTTAGTTAATAATCTTTTATTAATTATTTAATTGCAAACATTAATTACTTGATACATTATTTAATATAATTACATTTTTATTTTTGGTTGGCATTCGTGGAATATTGTTTAAAGATTAAGTTTAAAGAAAATTAAAATTAATATGAAAGTTATATTTGAATTGAAGTTTGCATTAATCGAAGCAAGATGAAGATAGAATGAAAAAATTTTATCTTGTTTATAACAAATAATATAAAATATAGCAATAAATAAGCTTCAACTAACATTTTTATATATAAATACATATTATATATAAATACTTTGCATAGAAATATTTTTAATATAATCTTTTCGTTTAATTCAAAGATAATGCCGCTAATTTTTTTATATTTTATATAAAAAATATTTAAATTTATTTGAATATTGAATATTAAAAAGTAATTAAAAAAAGATCGGGAACATTATAGCTATTTATTATATAGATATAAAATATTTTATTATTAAAATTCGATGTTTTTTCAATTCTTGTAATTATTAATTTGTTACATGATTAAAACGAAAATAAAACATAATCGTATAAACGTAATAATCAATAGAAAATAAAAATTATACGAGTCAAGATATAAAATAGAATTTAGGATTAAGTAAAGTATTAAATTTATATAGATATAGAAACTTTTTGATTTCTTCCTTTTGATTGTTTTTATCTTTCAATAATATTGAATTAGAAATTTATAAATTCAAAAGTTATATTAGCAAATATTAGTTTTTATCTTAATATTTTATTACTTTGTGCTATTAAATATTCTATATCAAATTCATTTTTTTCTTTTTTCAATTATTCATTTTTTCGTTTTTTTTCTACATCAATTTAATTAAATCAATACTTACTAATTATATGTAAGTATTATTTATTTGATATATGTTTTCTTTATTGCCTTTATTAGATTTAATTTTTGAATTTAACTTAAATTATGGAATTTATATTATTTATATTTATGAAATTATATTTATGTTTATATTTATTAATGTAAATTATTTTTAAATACGAGTTTCATTTTTTAAATTATATTTAAATTTTAGTTTAGTTTAAATTAGAAAAAGAATTTATGTGACTCAGATTAAATTTATGTTTAGTCTAATTTAGTTAAATTTTATTAAATTTACAATCAATTTCAGTTAAGTTAAATTTAAGTTAAATCTGTATTTCTGTACAATTAAACTATGAACAGAAATATAGAGATCAAAAAGTAGAGCACGAATACTAAATTTTATAGACTCATAAATTTTGAATTAGTATATTTCTAAATTTAAAATTGAATTTCTAAATTTAAATTCTTTGATTTTGTTCGTTGAAAAATAATATATACATAAGTAATACATATATAAAGTAATATTATATACGTAAAAAAAAAAATTAAAAATTATTTATGCTTTAAATGAAATTTGATTTCGATTTTTTATATAAATAATGATTAGATAAATGATAGATTTATATCATAGAGATTTATATGTATAAGTACACATATAAATATAAATATAAATATAAATTATGTAAATATAAATAACATAATATAGAAAATGAAGCAAAAAGTAGATAAAAATGTAGATAAAAATGATAGAAAAGAAGAATTTATTTATATAATGTAAAAAAAAAATAAAAAAGTTTATGCAAATTATAATCTTTAAATAATCTTATAATCTTATGAACACTAGATAGTATATGAATAATATATCAGTATATTCGGATAATGTATACATTTAACATGGAAGAAATGTAAAATAAAATATGATTGGAAATATGAAATGAAATAATATCAATCCAAAAATAAAAAATAATATTATTTTGATAATGCATCAAGATGCATTAAGAATGATGCATATTTATATTCTCATATGATTATATTTTATTTTTATATATTCTGTATACTTCTACATATTTTAGGCGATTTTTAAAAATCCTATTCTATATTTTGAAATTCAAAAATATTCAATTGTATTCAAAAATAGAATAGATAACAAATCAAATAAAAAACAATATTAGAAAAATTATTATAAAAACAATTATGAGAAAATGATGAAAATATAAGAAGAAAGTGATATGAATTAAACAATAATCTATAATATTTAAAGATATATTATTTATACTTCAAAAAAATATGTTAAATAATTATAATTAATTTGAAATGTAAAAAACTGTTAAATTGTTTTAAGTTTTTTATAGATGTATATGACAAATAAAATTAAAAAATTATAATTTCAACTATTTATTAAATTCATTAGTCAAACAAAAATTTGCATATAAAATATCGTGTTTCATGACTTTTTATATTCAATGAAAAATATTATTATAAGTAAATAAACGATAAATAAATATTATCATCATTATAATATCTTTTTTTTTTATAATTTGTTATTTTGCAAGTATTGGATTGAAATCGAGTTAAAGTTTAATTTAAAATTTTCCTCTTTTTTTTCAAACCGGAATTTTAGTTAATTTTTTATAATTTATTAGATATTATGTAATGTAAATAAATAAGTGTTGTGCTACTTGATGCGAGTTGATGCAGATTCAATAAAATATAAATGTTTTTATTATGTATTTAAATGTATTTATAAATGGATTTATTTATTATTATTTTATGTTATCTTATATTTCAAATTTGAATAATTTATCTAACGACGAAATAGATACTTTCTTTTATTCAATTCAATAACTATTATTTATTGTGTAAATATATTATATTTCTTTAGTGTTTAATGTTAAGTCAAAGCAATAATTTTATAAACAATTTTTTTTAATCTCTTTAAAGTAAAAATATATCTTCTTTTACAGCAGAGTCTAATCGGTGTAGAATGATGGGCTAACACAAATTTCAATTCTTTAATAGATAGGAAATTTAATTTTGACGCTTTTCTGCTTTTATTATCAAATCGAATTATATAAAAAATTATAATTGTAATGTATACACTATTTTTTGTAATTAATATAATTCTTATAATATATAATATAATAAATCTTATAATTTATAATAAATAATATTTTTTTCTATTATATTAACATATGTTTTAATCAACATATGTAAGTAAAACAGATTCGATACAGATTTTACATGTGAATCAAATATCATACACGAATATGATAGAATAAAATGCCAAGCATCACATATGATATGCTAGACGTGGCAGAAACAAACATCGCATATGGGACATGTGGAACACTGAAAATGCTAATAATACTTTTAATATTATTAAGCCAAAAGAAATTCCGATAATAATCTATTAATATTTGTGACCTTTTAAAATTTTCTAATTCTCTTCAGTTGAATGATCCTTATTAATTAGAATACTATAATTTGATTGTATAATTTAAAGTTCGTATTTATTTTCTATTTCAGTCAGTGCGACTAATTCCGAAAGGGATGCTGGTTTCTGTAGCGGTGGCGACGAGGACGATATATCCGACCTACACTCACCAAGCTCCTCGGAAGATAGTCTAGAGGTGCAAATAACGCCGATATCATTGAAAAACAAAAGAAAATTGGCCGAGCCTCGAAAAATTCATGAGCCGAACTTAGCACCACTGAAGAAACGAAAATTCCAACGAATCGAGGAAGATACCATACCGAGCGAGGAATCGGCTAGAATTTTAAGATCACCGAGCCCGTTTCGACCATGGAGTTGCACCAACAAGAGCATGGATTCAAAACTTTCTTTATCTATTTCAGCTGCGGAAAGGTCAAATCAATCGTGCGTTTTCAACTTATTATCGAACGCATCGTCATCGTCTCCCATTGTTTCAAATCGAATCAACCATCACCATCATCATCGTCACCGTCTCCATCATCATCATCATCATCATCATCATCAACATCATTGTCACAACAACGACGATAAGAAGAATAACGTTCGAAAAGACAATCTAGATCAGGGGCACATTTCAGAAGATAGCGTCGCGTGTGAGATAAATATAAAAGGAAATGATGATTTTCAAAAACAACAGGAGTTGAAATGCCAAGAGAATTTATCTGCCAGATTACGACAGTCGACGCAAACGCGTGCCATACGTGCTGAGAAGCGCGAGTTCCTCCGTCAAAAATCCGATAACACGACGATCTCGTCTGCAAGTTCCACGGCTATATCGGAAACAATATTGTCATCGTCTACAATATTATCTCCGATTACGCATCTCAGATTACAAGAAGAACCTTTGTCACTTGTATTGAGAGGCGATGTGGCTGCCAGGGTACCGCCGCATCCAGCGGTAAACGGTACTTATGAGAAATCCTGTTCATATTCTATAAAATGTACAAACGTTTCGTCTTCGTCCTCATCGTCTTCTCTCTCTTCCTCGTCCTCATCAGCAGCATCTACAACATCATCTTCATCCTCCACTTCCTCATCATCCTCCACTTCCTCATCATCCTCCTCTTCCTCTCTTTTGTCTTCCCATCCTCAGCAAGATCATCGGTTGTCGAGTAATGATAATTCTTGCTCGACAACGGTAATCACATCCACGACGATAACAACAACAGCAACCACACTGACAACGACGATGACGAACGTTCATAACGGTCAAACGAGGCAACACACGGTGCCGAGTCAACAGAGGAACTACAAAAATATGACGCGGGAAAGGAGAATAGAAGCAAATGCTAGAGAACGGACGAGAGTGCATACCATAAGCGCTGCATTCGATACGCTGAGACGCGCTATTCCCGCTTATTCGCACAATCAGAAGTTATCGAAGTTGTCCGTATTAAGGATCGCGTGTAGTTATATCATGACCCTTGGTAAAATTGTCGATATCCCCGAAGGCGAGACAGCGAACAGTGCTTCGTTAGGAGCTTGCGTGGACCTCGTCTCTAGAACCATTCAAACAGAGGGAAAAATTAGAAAGAGAAAAGAAGACTGAATCGCATAAGTACATAAGTATAGTTAGGCTTAATTCTAACAATACTATAGTCTAATGCGATACAATGTATATATAAACATTTAATCAATTATCATTTAATCTGTAAATCATTGAAAATTGAATTGATAAATAGTCCAACTAAATGTTGTTCAACAAATGTTAAATATTTTTCCGATCGTCTCTTTAAAATTTTGATGCTGAATAAAAGAATATCTACATATGTATGATGTCTTTGATGAAAAGTATAAAAAATAAAAGGGAGTTGACAAGATACGATGTATCCAACTCGCAAATTGAATCAACTAATAATTTATATTATTATTAATAATTAATTTTCAGTTTCAGATAAAAAAGTTTTCATTTTACTCGTTCGAATTGTAAATTAGAAAATATATTATTATGTAATATAAACGTCTCTTAGAAAAAAATATCGCGATATTGAATCATCAATTGAGCAAGATATATTAAAAAAATGCATAAGAATCTGAACTGATTCCGCAATATTGAAAATGTAATTTTCCACATTTCTTCGACAAAACATGACAAAGCATATGTATGTACGCATAATATGGTTGTCGATCAAAGATATCAGTTATTATGCGATTAAATGTACAATTCGAACGCGTAATCGTAATATTTTATATCGTTAAGTTATTTTGAGTCTATTTATACTCATATTTACCTTTATCAAAATTCGAATAACAGAAATAAAATTTTTGATAAATTTTATTGATGAAGATAATATTTCATATCCTCTTTGTGTTCTTGAGAGTTACAACAAGAATTTGGCGATTCACCAATAAAAATGCAACAATATGCTGCATTCTCGATTAAATTGATCAATGAAATTCATTTAATCTTTTTAATTCTTTTATCTTTCTGCCTTACGTTCTCACAAAAAAGAAATTTAATTTTAATATATCTATGAAAAAATTCTATTCATTATCATTAATATTTTATGATTGTTTCTGATGAAAATAAAAATTTGATTAGATATTGAATAGATCGAATAAATAAAATTCGAATAATTCAATTATAAATTCGAATAGAAAGAAACGAATTAAAAATATACGTCAACGTTCGATTATCGTATACATACTTCCAACAGAAAAAGGAATCACGCGTACACCTGCTAAGAAACAGAAGCAGGTGCATCTTAGTATCGCTTCATTTTTGGAGATTACTCGAGACAAATAATAATCACCTGCTCCTTGTGTCATATATAGCATAAGAAAAAATTCATGAACAACAAAATCGGTAATAAAAAAAAATTTTGTTTTAATTCTGATATTTTTTCTTTTCTCGGATAAAAAAATTTTAGATGATCAGAAAATTATATATTGATAATGATTAATTATCAAATTAAATAATAGATTAATTTTATTAATTTCATTAATATTATTTTTTTTATTCATAATTTTTAATAATAAATAAAAATTGTCTTTCAGAGTAATATTTAAGATAATTTGATTAAAAATTTGAAGATAACAAAATTTTTAAGATACTACAAATAGTTTAAAAATTATTTTTATTGATTTTATAAATATTTATTTAATAATTTATTGAATAATATAATTTCATTTTTTATATATTATAATTACCATTTTATTTCAATAATAATTTAATATAACAATTATAAAAAACTTTATTTTTTATTCAATAATATAATTTTTTCTGGCAAATAATATTTTTGTGTAAAAATTTTTGTGTAAAAATAATTTTAAATAATGAAATTCAGATTGCAATTAGAATAGATTAAAAAAGTATGTAAAGTCATTTTGCAAATATTCTTATTTGGCACATTTATATTATTTTATATTCATTTTACAAAAAATTTAAAATATAAGAATAAGCAAAAAATATTATAATTGACAATATGATAAAAATAATATGATTATGATATGACAATATGATTAAAAAATATATTTAAAAGCATATTTGAAGAAGAAATAAGAAATTAAAATATCAATATCTTAAAAATTAATTTAACAGATCACTCTTATATATTCTGGATGATTAGATACAAATTATTTCCACTGCGTATTAAAAAAAACATCGTACACTTTTAATTTTTCTGTTTCATTTCAATATAATATAAATAATATAATTAATAAATATAATATAATAATCAATTGCATATTGATCGTGAATAGCTATGAGATCGAAGACCGAAAGTAGTAATAAAATTTGGGCAGAGAATGAGAAAGAGGAAGAAAAGGAGGAAAAGAGCGACAGACATGAACTAAGATTAACGAGGCGAAATACTGTCTGGTGGGAGGTTGCCAGAACGTTGGCGCCAGCTGACCACCGTCGCGTCTCGTCGGACGACCTATATAAACGTGTGTGCGTACGCACTGTCACGAATCTCTATCCAGCTTCTCTCAACACTAAACCAACCTTTTCAAAGATTACACGCACGCACGTGTTCGCTAGCCAGTTTATTCTCTTCTTTTCCCCTTTCAACTTTACTATCTTCTTTCTTCCTTCTTTCCTTTTTGTCTTCCTTCCATTTTTCTTCTTTCTCGCATAAATATCGTTAACGAATATTTTTAATAACTCATGTCAGAAAGTAACATTAAAAACATGTGTTTCAAATACTTGGAATTAATAATTATTTTTTTAATCCAATTCAATCACAATACGAAAAATGTATAAGATTTTTCCAAATCATGTCTAATTTTACATTTATAAAAATATATATCAATATATGCCCCTCGCTATATCTATACAAATCGGAATGAACATTAGCACGAGCGCAACATACAAATAGCATAAATAGTGCGTGACAGGGTATTGATATCTGTTCTGTTTAATGAACGCATCAAAATACGTCATCAGAAATTACGAGATCACTGTACTATTTAAAAATACTTTTAATAATTTTTTTCATAATTTCAGGCATTTATATCTTTCTATCAGAAGCAATTATTTAATCTTGCTTCTATCACAAGTCTTCTTTATTGTAATAATATATTAATAATACTACTAATTCGCAATACGATGTTTAATTTTGCAAACATGATAATTAAGAAAATAAAAAAGTTAAAAAAAAAAAAGAAAATGAAAATGTAAAATCTAAACGTGATTGAAAAAAAATTGATTAAAAGCAATCACAGAAATTGCAACTTCTTTGCTATCTTTCCATCTATTAGCCACGAGCATTTATGTATATGTTTTATCCAAGTATGTATCTGTTTCTCGTATAGTTGGTGAGAGAATGATTTTGATAGGATGCGACAGTGTGGCGCCAAGCTCTCGCAGCATGCCTGTTTCCTTTATTCTTTTGTGCAGACGATGCGATTATACAGGCTGTTTAACAAATAACCAATCAGTTGTTTCATTTAATTAAAATTAACAAAAAAAAAAAATGCCAAATCAATAAATTAAAATTCATATATAATTTATCCGTTCTCATCGATTTCAATAATTTTAAGTTCTTCAGAAATGATATTAAAGACTTTTCAATATAACAGCTGTTCACCTTTAATGTTCTTGATTAATATTAATTAGTGTTCGCATAGAAAAAATGTTTCTAATATTGCGTAATTTTAAAATTTCATATATATTCAAGATAGATAATAAATGAATCTTTGAAATTTGAATTTGAATCTAAACTTTAAGAAAATTAGCATGCATAGAAAAAAAAACAAATTAAGAATTGAACTTGATTTTTTTGAAAAGGAGAAAGATCGATTGTTCATATTTGTTTTTAAAACGAATGCCATTTTTTATAAATTTCATTTTTTTTTTTAAATACTTTAATATGTTAATAAAGAAAAACTATCTTAAGTAAACAGATTTTGAAAATGACTTAAAAAAAATAAAATATGTACACTCTCATAGGTTTTAATAGAACTTTTTCATTTTGTTAAATTATTTATATTCATTACATAAATAATGAAAAAAATAACAATTATTTTATTGTAAAAAATTCTCTTTGTCGTGAATTTTAAACAAAATCAATCATTTAAATTAAATATAATTCAATTTGATCTAATTATATATTATCTTATTTTTTAATGCTTTGTGAAGAAATAAGATGAATAAATTTAAAATATCCTTTGTTGTTGTAAATATCCTTGTTGTTGTAAAGTTGTAAATATAATTCCTAATCTAAATCTAATTTTAAGAATATAAATCTATATGAAAGTTTTCTCAAAAATTGAATACTTGAGAATTATTTTTTATTATTAGATAATTGTTACTAGTATGCATCAAATAACTTTTATTTTGAATGCAATATTCACTAATAAGAAATTGTTGAAAGCAATCTTCAAGAGTTTTATTTTCAAATGTATCCCTATTCTAAATTAAATCTTTAAATCAAATTTAAAAACTTAATAACAAACTTAATAACAAATAACAAATCCTTAAATCCAATCCTTAAAAATAGTATTGAAAATATTTTTGCATATTTTCAAAGACTAAAGTCAATTATAAATACAAAACATGTTATATGTAGAAAAAAATTATTTCTGATAAATTCTTTCAATATTAGTAAAATTGATTATAAATAATTATTAAATTCATTTTTGAAAAAATTGCAAATTTTTTACTTTTATCTTCTGATAAATAAAATGTAAAAACTAATGTTCTTATAATGTACATATATATGTCTTGAAATCAATCAAATAAAAAATTTCATATTGCCGAAATTATTTCATATTCAAAAAAAACATTAAATATTAATACAATAAAAAAATTTTTCTATTTTTACTTTCTCTTTTTAATTTTTATCAAAGTTAAGATTTAATTAATGTTAATAATTCATTTTCTTTTTAGTAGATAAAATTCTTTAAAAAAAATAATAAATGAATTTATACATTTTCAAATATTCGGAATTAGTAGAAATTATTGCAAGAAATATATATTCTTCAAAATCTCCTGGATATAAAAGACCTTGACTTATAAAAGAATTAAAATTATTTATAATAATAATTATTTTGAATTATATTAATATTATTGTATATATGAATATAAAAGATAGATTATAACTTATCTATAATAAATATTTAAAATCGGTTAATTTTAGATTTTGACATCAAAAGACTTTTATAAAATATATTTTCACGAATTTAGAGAAATTCAAAAAACAATTTTTTGATAGGATAATAGAATAATAATTATAGAAAAATAATATTATTTATAGAATTGCAAATTTTATAATTAAAAAACTCTCAATTAATAAATTTAATTTCTTAATTTTTTTATAATTTATTAATAAAATAATCATATAGAAAATGAAAAAAAATAATGAAAATGAAAATAAGTTTATCGTAGAATGGTTATTTATCCGATAAGCTATGAAATTATCATATGAGAGAAACCTGTCGATAAAGTTCGTATTAATCAATCAGTAAATTGATATTGTAAACAAGTTTTCATTTGTAATTTTCATATAACAATATTAGAAACTAAGCATAAAATAAATCTATTATCCAATGCTCTTTTGTCACATAATTTAGATTACAACTTCATTTTGTGCGACATTATCGATTCAGAATGGAATGAAACAGTAGCGCTATTGAAGGAACGAAAAGAATTTTATTTAAATGTAATCAATTTTTTTATCATATCTCTATGTTATATATAATTTTCTTTATTTGTAGTTAAATTAATATTAAATATTAATTAATTAATTTATTTATTTTATCTTCGTGTCATGTGTTCCGAAATATTAACCTAGAAGAAAAAATTGTATAATTTTATATTTTATTACAGATAACATTATGAAAATTATGAGAAAGATATATATGAAAATAACATTTTTTTATGCAAGACTTTTTATTTAAAATAAAGTTAATTTTTTTTAAAATTATTCAAATGAGCATTTATATTTAATGCAGTATCTTAACAAAAAAATATATTAGATTTTCTAATATAATCTAAATAAAATCTATCTAAAAAAAAAAATTTTATACATATAATATAATACATATTACATATAATTTAGAAAAAACTCTCTTAAATGATTTTTGTATCTTATTTAAAATTTTATATTTTTTTTTGTAATTTTTATTTTGAAATAAATTAAAAAAATTAGATAAGTTATTTAATTCTTTTAATATTTTTGATTTAATTTTATAAATAAATATATTTCAATCATTTTTTTGCATCTAATTATCACGAATTATTTGTTGTAAATTGCTCAATTAAAAACAATATATTGTTTCGATATCAATTATCCAAAATTTTGTTCATGATAAAGTAAATATTTAATACGAATTGTACCTCGAATGAATTGTTTCATTTAATTTATTGTTTTTTTTAATTCTTTCCTTCCTAATATTACAACATCATTTTAAAAGGATATAAAATTGTTGCTG